TTCTGTGTCTATGTTTCCTCTGAGGCTGGAACTCATCATCCATTGTGTCAAACACCAGAGCAGTATTCACAAAGTTATTGAAATGCAGTTTTCTTTACGTTGATTCCTAAGCATTAGTTAACTCTTGGAAAAATTGCAATAGGCCGAAACTCCCTTGGTGAATTCATAAAATAAATACTACTAGGCTGTTATACTGTCTGCTAGCTTTTTATTCTGATGTCACATGGTCGCTGTTGCTGACAAAGTCTGCTGTGGAATCCATATGTAACTGGAATTATTAGAGTGTTCTAAATTCCACTTTCTTGACTGTTGACACGTTTTTAGCCAAACTTTAGGAAATTGTTACTTTGAGTTTTCTTATAAATCACACTTAACTGCATTTTTGTTTCTTGATAACTGACTGTTGTCATTTTCACCTTTCATGATTTCATTTATTATTTACGTGTTTATTCAACAACCACAAAATTTGCAAGTATTGGTTTTGTTGGGATTTTGTATGATTAGTTGGAGGATTTCTTCATGAGCTGACATCATTTAGAGAACTACTGGCAAACCTGGGAGTACTGGACAGCTGTTTCATCCAAAGGTGAGGTAGTAACCCATCTAAGAAGAAGACATTGTGAAGTGGTAGCGCTATGTCATGAATTTGCAGAAGTTAGAACTCATGGGCTGGCCATTAGATCTGGTCCACTGGCTTAATGGTTTATGAGCTGACTCAGCTTGTAACCAGAGGTCCTTTGGTTCGAACCCCGGTGGGTGCGTGTTGCTGAAGAGTCCCAAACCATCACGAAACAGTTGCCCAGTGCTCCCACATTTTCATTGGTTCTCTAAGTGATGTTAGCTGATGATGAATTCCTCCAACCAACCACGGAATTCTCGAAACGTGCTTGATAATAGTTTTAAGGCAGTAGTGTCATTTATTCAATATGTATGAGAACAGACAGGATAAAATATTCTTCGATAGGAAAAACTTGCTCCCCGGCTGTATTCATATTATCATCAGTTGTTTCAATACCAATACAAAAACTGAACAAATGCTATTAATTCAGGAGACCTGGAAGTATCCACCTACTGTTTCGCAGAGAAAAACGGCATTCTAAGAAAACTTGCTAGTGGCTAACTGTTTCTGTAAGCCTTTTGTATTGTAAGAGTGACTGAATTTCGAGGATTATCTAATGTCTCTTTATGATTCTTCCAGAAGACAAGTAAAGACTGAACCGCTGCCGTAGACGCCGAACAGTCTTTTTTCCTAAATGGAACTTCTTACGGCTGCCAAAACCTCCCTCAGGTTACTAGCTGGCTAAATATCTGGCGGATCCTAAGCCAGATAAAAGAGGGAACGTTGAGTGAGAGGCTAGCGACCCTATCCTGATAACCAACCAAGTCGCAATAAAAACTTCAACGTACAGGAAAAATATTTTTTAAACGTAGGCAGGAGAAAGCCTTCGAGAGGCCAGTCAACCGACGTATCTTCTTTCCATTAAGCCAAAAATAAAAATGTGGACGTGATGTGTTCGTTCAACATACTAGGCAGCGGGGGGTTGTCTATGTAGCCAAATAAATGAGGAAATATGGTATAGAAGTGCTAGGAATCCGTAAGAGCATGTGGAATGAGTGTCGACTGTCCAAATTGTCAGCACAACAGTCAGTAATCTACTCCGATCACCCAGATGACAACCACGAGCACACTGAGGAAGTGAGTGGTTATCATGATGTCGCCAGTAGCTGCCAAAGCCCTAATGCAGTGAGAACCAATTCCACCCAGAATTATGACAGTAAGATTCAACTCGGTTCTTAGCACAAGGCTAAGAACAAATCAGAAAAACACAAGAAGGAACATTTCAAAAGATAACTCCGAACAGTAGTGCACAACATACCAAAGAGAGACATCAAAATTCTTATGAGCGACAAGAATGCAAAAATCGGGTCATACAGTAAAGAAACAGAATTCATCTTTGGTTGACAGGCACTTAGGTGAAAAGAATGCGATGAAGAACTCTTCACAGACTTCTATGAATTCACTGATTTGGTGATTGGAGGCAGCATACACATGCGCAAGGATATACACAAGGCCAACACATAGATTTCGCCTGACGGAAATACCAGAAACCAAACCGAATTCATTGAAATGCTAGTGAAGAAAAACGAAATGCAGCCTACTGGATAAAAAGTTGGGAAAGAGAACAGATATGCACCCAGCCCATTATCTACATCAAGGAACCTTCAAGGGGAAGATGAACCCACTCAGAACGACTATATGCACACCACTGTTACAGTTCAATATTCAGAAACTGAAGGGAAAAGCTAAAAGGGCTACCTTTCAGTGCAGCCATCGCAGTGGAGTCGAGGACACTGCGTAGCATCACTGAGGAAACCTGTGTGAAAGGGAGAACACTGGTCCTCTCTGAAGGTGATATTCAAGGAGACATGCACAACCGTTCCGAGAAGAAAGAAGAGGCAATGGAAGTAGTGGTTCTCAATGAACACCCAGAGGCAAATATTAGAGAAGAGGTTGGTGAAAGAGCAGACAAAGCAGTGCAAAAATGGACAACAGAAGGAGAAGCTGAGTTCACAGCAGTGTACACTGCAATGAATAAAGAAGTGAATAAGACTGTTAGGAAAGGCAAAGGATAATTCTACGACACACTGGCCAGCAACTGAAGCCGAACAGACAAGCTGAAGTTAAATCAGTCCTCAAAACATTGCATCGGATAACCACCCCAAAAAAAAAATAGGATACACCCAAGAAGATTTCTAAAAGATTAAATGGGGCATTCATATACGTCACAACGGGTTATTGACAGGAAAAAAAACGAAAGAAAAGTAAATAAAAAAAAACTCGGAAGAGAGGTCACTCACTTCCTCCACTCATCTAGACAACATCCTTTCAACTACTACAGGCAACCTGAGCACATGATGATGTCAAAACCGGGATCGAAGAAGCAAGACACGCCTTCATCTCTCTCAAACCAGTGTGGAAATCTGAGGCACTAGCTCAGCGTGAAGAAATACGCTCGGATTTCCAACACCAATGTTAAGCCATTCATTCATTCAGTCAGTTAGTCGGTCAGTTACCGCTTCTATGTGGGTCAGAAACGCGGTGTGTGCACCATGAGGAAAAGCATTTGCAACAGGCTACTGCACACCCTTATCGATAGTTGAATTCTCTAGCTGCATATTGAAGATGAGGTGGCCAGCCGACCGTAAAGAATTAGCAAGGAGAAACTATGAGAAAAGCGAATCGAGAACTCATTGATCAATAAATATGTAGAGGAGAATGGAGATTGATTAATCACACGCTGAGGAGACCGTCGAATGACATCACGCTTCAGGTCATCACTGGGGTTGAACTCGAATGAGAAAGGGTGAGTTAGGTGTGTGTCAGAGGGTGACGTGGAGGAGACGATGAAATAAGGACCTAAGAGACTATTGATAACTGTGAGGCCAGATGAATAGGATTTCAGAGAATGAGATAAAGTGGAGATGTACTTCCGAAGCCTTTTATTCCACTTGCAGGTATACATTTAGAGGGAATGAATAGTATTGATAAATTGAATAACAACTTACCAGAGGCGATACGCTTTTTTCCCCTGTGCACTGCTGAAAATTTAGTCATTCAGATGAAGAAAGTATAGTTATGCATACGAAGGAAAATTATTTAACCACTTCTACTGTCATGGCAACAACCTTGTTGATTTCCACCAACTTGATTTTTGCTTATTTGTTTTCTGAAATCCTTATAATCTTTAAAAGCCTTACATAATTCCATATTTTACTTCATTTCTATGTGCATCCCGATTACAACCCATTCAATAAATCATTCATCTTATTACGTAATTCTAATACAATTATTCAACTCCTCCTATGCATTGACTATTATTAATAACTAAGATTACGACAACCCATCACTTTTCTTACCACCGTCTTTCATGAAAAAAAAATTGTAAATTGTATAAATAAAATTGTATAAATGCTATTGTACAGTTAGGGAAAATGATTTCGCTGGAAAGAGTCTCTTTGATGAACTATGTGTTTTGTTTTAGCTGATACTACAATAATCGATGATCATATGGCAGAAATTCTTAAGGCTTAAGATGCAAATATTCTTGAAAAATTAGTATTCATTTCTTGTCCTCGAATTTGAATGACACTTCAACCAGCAATTATACAACTAATCTAAAACCACTTAAGTTATTCCTCAAAAGCTTTGGTAAGATTATACCTTTTCTAGTTAAATCAATGTTATTTCCCGTGTGCTAAGCAATTTTCTCCCACCTAAATTCTGAATACTAAACAACTGTGATGTGAGTAGCATTGTATAGTCCGCTTTTTTTTGTAGGTGCCCTCCTGTATAGTCAGAATTGTTCTGACTCGGCACTGCATGCTCTAACCTGTTGAGTAACTGTAACTTCCGACCCTGTAATGAAATAAATCTTCATCTTTAATTTTACAATACATAGATGGAGAATCCACTTATTCGTCAACATTTGATACATAGATGTTAATGTGAAGTTGTTAATGCACTACACGTAGATAACAATGGTCGTGGGTTTAATTCAAGGAAAACTTAGAGACACGAGATTAATTTAGATGTAGGCATGCAATGAAGGCCAAGAATGGAAGTGCGATTAGGAGACGTTAACTAGATTATTAGCAACAACCATAGAAAGTCAGATAAATGACAGTGTTAAGTATGGTAATAGCGAATAACTTTTTGTAAAGGTTGAAGCTAAAATAATATTGCGGTCATCAGCAAAAGCTCCCGAGATCATGGAATCACGAACAGTTTAGATAATAGATTAAAACTGTCAAGATCACGGCTGCACTGACAGTTACTCAACCAGACCGTGTATATCACGCCTAGTTAACTCGCTTCTAGACTACAGCAGTGGTCACCTATATAGAAGCACACTGTAAAATCTTAGTTGATGTCAGAATTTGAAAATAAACTATTCTTTTATTATTATAAATCCCTGTTGTTGTTTTTTAATGATATTCAGCACGGGTGCAACCTTTCACACATTGTACTGGGCATTATTTGGACAGTCGTCAACTAATGTAACAACTATTGATGAAAATTTAGCCAGTATGTATCCCGGACATGAACATTTGGCAGTGGATAGCAGCCCGTACATAGTCAACAGTCTTGGCAGTATTTTATACGCAATTTATAACGCTTGCATGATTATAATCTTATTGAACATGTTGATTGCGATGATGAGCAAATCGTTTGATGAGATACAGGTAATTGAAGTGTTATAATCGTCTTTCTATCATAAAAGTAAAATTCATTGCTTTCATCTTGCACAGTCTTCCAGACTAACAGACAGCCAGTCAGTGTCTTTTGACCGTTAAATACCTCACCGTTTTGAAGTGCTTAAGAGTCAATAGATAATGTACAGCCTCAAACCTGAAATATTCCTCTTCACCCAATTGCACCTCTGTTTCATCCCCTTTTCACTGACTCAGTCGGCAACTAAACTTCTTCGAGGTTTTCATTAAACAATAAGAGAATATATCTTACTTGTTTCTCAATCCTTCCGATGAGCTTCTGTCGTAAGCCAGCTTGTGGAATACTTACAGTTGTTGTTTCTTCGACAAATAATTGTCACTGGAATAATCAGATAAGTATTTATTATTATTGTTCCCTTGGGTTCCTAGTGGAATATAGGGCTTCAACTCCACGTCTCCACTTGCTTCTCTCTTCTCCTGTACTTTTTACCTGAATCCAAGTTAGTCCATACTGTATCAACCCCTCTTCACACGATCTCCTCCATGTTACCCTTGCACTGACGACCCACTCACCGCTTCCCTTTCGGCCTGCTTCCACTCGAGCAATGGCCTGACGCGCGTGCGGTGTCACCCAGCGGCCTCTTCAGTGAGTGTCCAATCCATCTCCACTTTCTCCTGCATATTTGTTGGTTGACGATTGGTTCTTGTTTAGTTTGTTAGCGCCCATAGTTTCTTGTTGGTGATTCTTTCCGGCCCAGCCATCTGATCTTCAGTAGAGAGCGAAGACAGTTAGTTGTTGATAAAGGTCTGCCCATTAAGTTTCTGATTCGTATAGAAGAACTGACTGACTTGACGTTTGTACTGAAAATCCGACTGAATTTTGTTGTTCATGCTGAGTGACGAAGATTTCCAGATTGTTTTAAGGTTGATGATACATACTTAGTTAAACTATAAGCGGCGCTATTCACTCCAGAGGTTGCATTACTGCAACATCATCCAGTCACTATATATATATATATAGTATCACAATTTTAGTCGGCTAATAAGTCTCATGATTTCACTGGCTGTAAACAAAAATGTAATTAGTTTTATTGAGCAAATAATCATTCGTTAGTGCAATAAAATGTCCCCTCTTTAATTCAACAAGTTGATAAGGTTTTCATGACAGAGGGATTTTTCTAAATGAAAGTGGGCACTGTAGTGAATATTCACGAACCAGATTCCCATAAATAATTATCTTTAATCATTCAAATTCGTCTAAATTTTGTGATTACTGACACTTATCATTGTGTGTAAACCATTGAAATATAATTATACTTTAGCTGAGATTTCACTTTAGTCAACTTTAATCAGTTAACATGACACATACGTATTTATTTGGTTAGATTCTGTTTCACACATTGCCCTCACAACTCATAAGCTCTAATCCTAGCGATTTACAAATGCATTTTTCTGCTTTATTTAAACAATTTGAATGAAGATGATAATATGTTTTGTGGTGGATTTCAAATGAACAAGCTGGAAAATTTTTTTCTATGCTTCATTCAATATTGCAGAGGCGAAACATCCCACTCTATACTACTCTGCCAGCACATTTTTTAGTAGTTTTCCATAAAACAAACCAGTCCAACGGATAAACACACTGCACATGCTATGAAAAGTTGACGGAAATTTTTGAGTTAAATAGTAAGAGTAATTGTATGACTAATGCTTATTAATGACATGATAATTCATTCTTTAAAGAAATCTCTGTTACAATCGTAAAATTACTTTTACTAGAATTATGAATTAAATTTAAGTATTTTTGGTTTGTAAAGCATCGTGTTAAATCTTCAAGGGATATTTATATCGTCATACTGATTACTGTTATTAATAAGCTACCAAACATAAATGTCTTTGGATGAACATCACTTTAAATAACTTCACAATGATCCATTTTGAGTGAGAAGAAATTATTTCCCTCAAATTAAAATTTGGACATGTCAAAATCTTGATTTTGAAATTGAATGCATAGGTTAAAACGCAAATGAGAAGTAAGTAAAACTATAAAACCACGGTAGTTTTCGACGTATAGACTGTCAGACTGTAACAAGGTAAGAAATCTAAAGGAAAGTTAGTATAGCATTACATGCAGACTGTACCATGAAATAGCAGAACTGAACACTACATAAAAGTGACTCAGAAGGATGAACAGGAATTCAAGTGAACTGTCGTGAAGATTTGACAGAATAGTTCTAAAATATTTGGGCGCCGAGTGAGAAGTGGACATTTGTAAAAAACTATATTAGTAAAACCTCAGCGAGATTGAAATGGGTAATTCCAACGTTTCGTTCGGCAATCTGGTCCCAAATTATTATTCAGAAACAACCTTCTTCAGGGAAATTAATCGAAATTAACATAACAGCGGTTTATATATGAAAGGAACATCTCTTGTTTTAAAAAACTTTGTCCAATCATGAGTCATAAAACGAGTATAATAAACAAAAAATTGTATGAACTATGATCAAAATTTGACCTCGGACTTACAAATATTTATTTATTTATTTTTGATTACAGCTTGATTCCACACTGTATTTTTGGTACAAGTATGGAATTTTCAGCGTGGATATCGGTAGCCCAAAATTCGCAGGCCGACCATAGATATCAGGTGTGCGTCGGCGTGGGCTCGAACCGTGGACCATGTGCATGGTCGGCGAGAGTCCTAACCACTGTACCACCGACGCACAGTAGGTCGAATAAATCAGCTCAATTTTCAGAAAGAAGACAAAGTAATAAGTTTGACAGGGTGCTTCAACTAAACTGTAATCCTAAACACCATAATTTTGAAAGTACGTCTAATCATAAAATTCTAGATACTAACAGTCTGAACAGACATGAAGGTGTGATGTTAGCTGACGCATAGGAAATCCTGATTAATAAATAAGAATGGATATGTATCACTAATTAATAATACCTGGTCAAAGTTCCCGACTGTCTATATCTACTTATGGAGACGTTAAGACATTGTTTTACAACTGTTTATCCGCACAAACACACACTGTTTAAAGTGTTTAACAAAGGTAGACCAATATTTGTAAGTCCGAGGTCAAATTTTGATCATAGTTCATACAATTTTTTGTTTATTATACTCGTTTTATGACTCATGATTGGACAAAGTTTTTTAAAACAAGAGATGTTCCTTTTATATATAAACCTTTGTTATGTTAATTTCGATTAATTTCCCTGAAGAAGTTCGGACCAGATTGCGACGAACACAGGAAACGTTGGAATTACTCATTTCAATCTCGCTGAGATTTTACAAATATAATTTTTTACAGATGAACAGGAAGACTGTTAACTGAAGCTTTTCATACAAAACATCTGTAGTATGACTGATTCACTGTCATTTCAAATTTTCGAAGCTTACTGCTATCATAATGAAAGAGAAAAAAGGGAATTAGAATCGTAGTAAATCAAATTGTGGACTATAATATGTTTATGAATAATGAATTTCTTTGTGAACTTCATAAACCAAAAATTGTTATTAATAATACTCTGAAATGAACCAATATGAAATTTGATTTTTGACCACTTCTAGTGGTTTCTCGTAAATCTCACATTTCATACGATGAAAAACGCCTACCTGATCATAAAGAAGTTATTGATTACCAGAAATGTTGCCTTTATTAATGTTATGACAAGATTCATTTTTCGATATTTTATCCGGTCACATGAATTCTGAAATTAATGCATACAGATGAAATCTGATGAACTAGCTATCTATCCATCTATCTTTTCTGATTATGTACTGCATTAATGCATCTCTTCTCGTTTCTGTTCGTCTAAACAGGGTGACAGGCTAGAAGAATGGAAATTTGCAAGGGCCAGTTTATGGTTAGTTTATATTGATCAAGAAGGTGTACTTCCGGTCCCACTTAATTTACTACCCTCACGTGAAGCTTTGTCATCATTTATCTCACGCCTCTGTGGAATCATACAATGGAAGAAACCACAAATATACGCGAAGAATCATTGTGATTTACACAAAAATCAAAACATAATATTTAGTCAAACCACTCCAACAAAAGTACATTCGGTGAATTCACATTTAAGTCAGGACATTCGAAAAACCCATACAACAACAACTGTGAGTACTCTGTTGGACGCTAATTCGATACATTCAAATGACTGGACCTCTGATGCATCCGAAAGTGAAAATGAAATAGAAAAAGCTTTTAGTGACTACAAGGTAACTATATAATTCTACAACTAGTAATTATCAAAATAAATGAAGAAAAAATTAAGATTGAAAAACGAGTGTGACATACCTAATAAAATAAGGTGAATATTTTTGGAAACATATGCTCAGTTAAATTAGAATGCGCTTGTGTAAACCTGTAACATAATCTGACAGTGCAACAAAATTAAATACCTTTCAGGTTGATCCGATGCTCTCTAGCCATTAGAGCTGACTGACCTCTATCCCAGATATGTTTATCATGATGTGAAACTCTGAATCGTCGTACACAACAGCCTTCTGTTTAAAGTTCAAGACTACATTTTATGAGCCAAGGACACTTAACAGACCTTAATAAACACATTACCCCATTAGAAATATAAGAATTTAGTCACCTACTAGTAGAGGTTCGACATTCTTTTCGGTGTTATTTTGTGTCTGCTTAGCTGAACAATTTAAGTGACAAGCCTTCACTATTCTTCCGCAAAACATCTTCAGTGTTAACTTCAAAATGAAGTGGACTTTCCGAATTCACTATGAATGAAATAACCGTTTTTCCTCGTGACCTTGATTGTGATTGGTTGTTACAAAGGATTTTCTTACGGTTGTAATCAACTTTTTGTTTAACATTGATCATTTCGCAGAAATAATAAATATTTGACCTTTCGTTGGTGTGACTGATTCTTTGTATACACTAGTCCGTTAACTGCAAATCGACTAAGTGACAGGCTGTTAGGAATCCTTTTGCTGTTTGAAATTTTCTCTGTTTGAAGCTTTCACTTTTTCCTTGTCAAAACGATGTCCATAGTTGTCCACATGAACTGATATGAATAAGTGTATATTTGTGTTTTGACCTGTAGTTTGTGTTTATTGGTTAGGATGCAATCATACACATTCATTTTGAGTTATGCCACAAAATTACCTACTGAGTGCAATGTTGTCTCTGTAGTTTGAATCGGTAAAATAGACTGCATATAAGTTGTATACATTTTAGGCCTTATCGGTAAAGTGTGTATAGACTGAATGACAATACTCCGTGATGAAAATTAACTTTCAGCTAAATATCAAGTTAGCTGTTTGCTAAATCATTCAGATATACAACGGGATTGGCGATTCAGGTGTGAAATAGTACAGGCTCCTAGATTTCTATACATACAACCTCCTAATGACGTCTTTTTTTTCCTTCACGTTCCCCAGTGGAACATAGGGCTCCAAGCTATTGGCTGAAGTTTCTGCAGCAGTGTTTGTTTTACAGGATGAGGTTGCTAGCCTCATGCCAAACCTTTCCTCTTTACCAGCGTTATTTCTGGCTTAGCGAGGTAAAGGAGTGTGTTGGCCAGAGATCGAACCCCGGACCATGTGCATGGTCGGTGAGCGTCCTAAGCGCTATGCCACCGACGCACTCTAATGACGTCTAGTAATCACTAAATATGAGCCTGTAAGTTTCTGCCGAGCGAACGGTATGGTCTACATATGTACTTATGGATCAGAAATTATTTATCAGTCCATAAGTTTCAATTGAGGATATATAGGCTCATGATGGGAAGATCACTTTTACTATCAAGGATTTACTTGTAATTAAATAATTCTGATGATCAGCAGGTATATCGGCATCTTTATTATTCCCTTGCATGACTGTCTATTTTATAGTCAACTTTATTATTCGCTTATAAATTCATTCGATTTACTGATACAACGCCATCACACCCAATTAGTCGGATTTCTTTTATTACCAGTTAAAATGTAGCACTGTCTACACATATTACTTAAATTCATTTCAATCTAATCCCTATGTGAATCCTTTTGTATTACAATTCATTTTAGCTCTATACTGACACTATACGAGCAGACGTCATGCGTCGATATTTGTTTAAACTTCAGAAACAAAAAGAAGAAGAATTCAAGTCCGGGGGTAAATCACAACTTCCCTTCATTTTCGATTTGTTATTAATTTAATGCAACCATACACTCACCCCCATACACACCAACTCCCTGATTCACATTGTGTTCATTGTGTTCAGTACGCACCTAGTACAATTACATACATATAGGACACAATAAGTGTAAAGATTTTTTAAAAACAAGTTTGTTTCAAAACGGTTTGCTTCACCAGACCTGCATAAGACAGAAAGCCAAACGAAATGAGCGAGTATTGGAGAGACTAATCACTTCAGTTATGAACCAATCAGTTAACATCTGTTGTCCAATGCTGGGCAAAATCTGAAACCCAACTATATCCCCCTTAAATGGCTAAAAACAGATGTAACACGCTACATTTTTCATAGTTCTGCCGAAATGTAAGGTAGTGTGGACATCCTTAAGTTCATTTACTGATTGACTTAAGATTATGGAAGTATTATAACGACAGAAAACAAGGACCAGGTAACAGATCATTTATTACGGAAATCAACACATATTTATAGATTTTCATGTACATATTATAGATTATTGTTAGCAGAAAAACACAGTCCTCTGATTGGTTGTTTCTCACGGAGAGTTAACTTTGCATCTCTTTGTGGCTGTTTCTTGAATGTCAGATCATCTATATGTTATCCTGTATCCACCTATGCAAAGCCTTTGTTTGCATTTTTCTCACTACCAATATTGGGGACATGAACACCGATGTAAATTACTGTCTACCAATCTTGGCTAGTAGCCAGCTCTCACCACAGTATTTATTATTCCACAAATGTGCAAAAGCTGAAGAATTTCATTTAAGCGGTTCAAGCGCATTCATCATTCCGATTTTGAACTTTTGGACTTTATCTTAGACGACAACATAGATGTGAATTAATGGGCCTTCTAAAATTCAATAAACTAGCACATGAAGGCTTGTTGGCTATTAGTGTACACCAACCGATTTGTTACAGACAAATGCTGTTAACTCCATAGAAAAACACGGTTATCTTTTGCTCAATAAATGAACTACGAATTTGATATGAGTTTATTTTTTACACACTACTTTGTGCTAATTTACTTTTGCTATCAACTTCAAATATCACAATTCACTGTGTTTCAGGTTACTAAAAAATTTTGAATTCTTTGTCGGTCGTCATGACGTATTCAGACATCACTAGTAACATAAATAATATGATTAGTAACTCATTTTTCTGCATATATATATTATATATATCCATGTTTATTGAACTACAATGGACTTACGCTGTTTTCCTTTTAGATTTCTCTGTCATGAGCATACAACGACAACAAATGCAAAAAATGATGGAAAGTGAATCAAAGCGTAAGCAAGAAATGTATCGTGATCAGTCAGTGAGGAAGGAAAGCACAAACAAGAGTGACGAAGAAATTAGTGAAACCACTCCAAATCCTGTAGCAGAAGATGAAAATCGACTTAGGGGTCTACGCAGCCTCTTAATGCCACCGTCTGTTCGAAGAAAACTAGAAGCAGTTGCATCAGTCAATCATTCAGGAAATGAATCAGAAAAACGAGAGGCAGCAGAAGCAGCTGCACGATTTTATTTACTTCAAACAACTAGAAAAACTAAAGGATCAGATGATATCAAGGCGAACGAAGGAAGCTCTAAGAATCGTAATTCATATAGTAATCAAGCAAAAGTTGAACAATTCACAGCGCGTACTGAAAGACCAATTAAAGGCATACACTTAAGAGAATTATATGGAGTTGAACAAGAAATGCACGATATGTCAGAAGCGCTTTCATCTTATTCTCTGTCGGAAGCAACTATTTCAGAGCTTAATGATTTAGAAACGTACTAACACTGGAATGTAACTGTGTACATGTGATATTTTGTTCTCTTAAAAGTTCGCAAATTCTTTAGGAAGAATAAATAGCAGGAATAGGAAATAGAATGATAACAACTTACATATTTATAAATCACTCAATCCTATGAGCATATTATATTAATAAGTATGATTTTTCGCCTTTCAACTTTTGTTTTTAAAGCCAATCTGATTGTTTGCTTCACTGTCTTCTCTTCTTCTTCTGTTATGTTCTTTGTCGCTAAAAAAAGATAAAATTCACACGAAGATTTGCGTCTCCTACTGTGTGAAAGCTGATTTTTGTTTATTACTTTGTCTAAAAATAGAAAGTAATAAAAGTGTTTTTGCACGTCATAATTCCATACTAGTTATTACTAGTGTTATTAGTATCACATAGTGATTACTGCTAATGGCTTTCTATGTTGATTTATTTCGTTGACACTCTACCGACAGGTTCACAGGCAAATAAACTGGAAAACAAGGAGAGCATATTAAAACCCCCTGATTTTTTATAGTCTACTTAATGACTAATTTAAAAGTACAGTGTTGCGGAAAAAGCGTTTACAAAAATTAAAGTCACAGACTTATAGAATGCCATTTAGGCAAAATATGGATTTCCGGTAATGTCTCATCAGGTTTGATAACAGCATATTGAGATTATTTAACGCAGACAGTTGATAACAGTGTGGATCATAGAATTAAAGTACAAAAAATTTAATCAAGTTAGTTAGCACATTATTATTGTTATATTATTATTATTCCCTTGGTTCTTAGTGGTCAATACGCCTTCAGCAGCACGTCTCCGCTCGAGTGATAGTCTGATGCACGATGTTATTCGGCAGTCTCCTCAGCGTTTGACAAATCCATCTCCATTCTTTTCTGCATATTTAATGAGCAGTGAATTCTCAATCGCTTTTCTCATAGTTTCTTCTTGCTAATTCTCTACGGCCGGCTAGCCACCTCATCTTCAATATGCAGCTAGAGAAGTCAGCTATTGATAAGGGTGTGCAGTAGCCTGTTGCAAATGCTTTTTCTCATGATACACACACCACGTTTCTGACCCACATAGAAGCGGTAACTGACCGACTAACTGACTGACTGAATGAATGGCTTAACATTGGTTATCCGATACAATGTTCTGAGGACTGATTTAACTTCAGCTTGTCTGTTCGGCTTCAGTTGCTGGCCAGTGTGTCGTAGAATTGTCCTTTGTCTTTCCTAACAGTCTTCTTCACTTCTTTATTCATTGCAGTGTACACTGCTGTGAACTCAGCTTCTTCTTCTGTTGTCCATTTTTGCACTGCTTCGTCTGCTCTTTCACCAACCTCTTCTCTAATATTCGCCTCTGGTGTTCATTGAGAACCACTACTTCCATTGCCTCTTCTTTCTTCTCGGAACGGTTGTGCATGTCTCCTTGAATATCACCTTCATAGAGGACTAGTGTTTTCCCTTTCACACAGGTTTCTTCAGTGGTGCTACGTAGTGTCGTCGACTCCACTGCAATGGCTGCACTGAAAGGTAGCCCTTTTAGCTTTTCCCTTCAGTTTCTGAATATTGAACTGGAAAAGTGGTGTGCATATAGTCGTTTGAATGGGTTCATCTTCCCCTTAAAGATCTCTTGACGTAGATAATGGCTGGGTGCATATCTGTTCTCCTTCCCAAATTTTTATCCAGTAGGCTGTATTTCGTTTTTCTTCACTAGCATTTCAATGAATTCGGTTTGGTTTCTGGTGTTTCCGTCAGGCGAAATCTATGTCGTTGGCCTGTGTATATCTTTGTGCTTGTGTATGCTGTCTCCGATCACCAGATCACTGAAGCCGAAGAAGTCAGCTGGGAGTATATTATAACTATAACAGAATCACTTAATTTCTTATGTAGCCTAAGTAGTCACTTTTTGTGTATCTGTAAAGAGGTAACATATTTGTATGGAGGTAGAGAGGAAAATCTCTATTATGTTCTAGCAGTTTGGAATTTGGTTTTAAGATTATTTGTGAAACTTGGACTAAGAGAACATCACTAGATAAGATAACTAAATTCTCGTTTAAAAATTTATCAATACCAGGTGAACGTTTACATGATTACCTTTGGAAATCCTGAACCTTCAGATCAGAACAATTGATCTGCTTGATAGGATGAGTGGCAGTCAAGAAATCGAGCATCATTACACTTCAATATTTACTAGTGAATGACATGAGCAGCGATTAAAGTATTAGTGATAATGATCATGATAAACTTGTCACTAGGAAGGAAATTATCCAGTGGTATCTGCGTTGAAGGTGAATTATAAAGAAAGAAACATCACTGGAGAGATTTTTCTCTTAATGCCTACATTAGTCTGAAAAATCTTACTGGTGAGTTGCATCAGGTGTTTTTGGCCATACAAGGCGTAAAAACTTAGGTAAATGATGTGATTCCCCGTATAGAACAGTAATTCATGTACTTGAACTTTAAAAATTTAATTTCATTCAACGCACTAGTATTAAATATGTATGTCGAGTAACTTTAATGCATAAATGGGCCGTTGTATCTGCTCCCAGGGATTGAATGGTCTACTAGCTTGCCTGGTAACCGGGTGTTCTTGGGTTTGAACCCGGTGGGTGCGTACTGCCAATGAATCCAAAGCCAAGACGAAAGATAACTGTAAAGCTTGAGGAGAAATTACTGAAAATAAGTATTTACTGAAAGACGTATTCATTAAGCTAAGTGCTTACTAAAGGGTGTAAAGGTGGATAAGTAAAGTACAGAAATAATATAATTCACATATCACTGAGAAGTTCCATAATCGAATGGAAGACAATTGCAGGAATTATATGTTATAAACCTTCCTTCAGTAATCATCAGGTGAAGAAAAATCCATGCAGAGTTTCCTAAGTAAATAAAAGTGTATCAGACAAATCTATTTACCTGGAACGAAAACGATTTAAACGCATAAATGATATACGTCGTCCACTTGAAAAATAAACCATTCTGCATATCGCACAACAATATTATCCCCAACACACTGAAGTTATGTGCTTTACAATGTCATTCTTCTTCATGAAATGAATTTGTACTCAGTGTGTTGTCATTAAACCACTTAGATCAGTCTTGTATACTATAGTAAGAATGTCATTTGTCTCAATAGGTGCTTGTGTCACTTTGCTGTATTCCCCCACATCAAGATTGTATTACTTATACACACAAAACATACCTGCGGCTTTTTCTGATTCATTTGAGTAATTCACATTTGTTGGCAGCACTTAACTAAATTTAAAGCAATTAGTTCCCTTAATGAATTTTGACAACACAATAAGAAGACGTAGTTTACCTGAAACGTGTAAAGTATTTGCGCAACAAATTTCGGACATTCTGATCACATACGTACTTATCATACACAGTTTTATAGAAGGCATGTGTATGTACAGGTCAAAGTCACGAATAAAGTCCTGTAAGCCCTCACAGTATCCGAACGATTGTGCCACAGCCCATGTGCGTCGGTGGCACAGTGGTTAAGACTCTCGCCGACCATGCACATGGTCCGGGGTTCGAACCCACGCCGACGCACACCCGATATCTATGGTCGGCCTGCGAATTTCGGGCTACCAATATCCACGCTGAAAATTCCACACTTGTACCAAAAATACAGTGTGGAATCAAGCTGTAAATCAAAAAAAAATTTACATGCATGTGTGAACACATGCACGTTGGGAGGACCAATCGGTCTCTGCAGGTTAGGGCTACAGAACACATTCCAAAGTGGCTGCAACAACAAATAAAATCGCCAGACACAATTGAACCCGGAAATAGATGTCCAGCATCATCTATAGAGAAGCACATTATAGAGACGGGTTGACTTCAAGAATGCTTTTAAACCCATATATAAAACAAGGTTGGGTCACATACTTAAATACGTTGAAGCTTTGGTCATAAAAAGACTTAAACCTGTCTTATGTGTCCAAAAGTTATTTGTTATTACTTTGAACCTGCCTTGGTAATCCAACTTAGAACCAAGGATCAATTTACTTCATAATATTTTCAACCCCTTCTTTACTTTGTTTTTTCCCGTTTTCTCTTTCTTACCCACACCTTTGCGTCATCTTCCTACCCATTATTTGTGTCCTTGACTTGTACACAGTCTGACCTGTATTGTAATCATTCATGCCTTCTTGCCTTCTATAAAACTGTGTATGACAAGTACTTAATTAGTAAAGTTAGTTGGATTATGTGTCAGACCGTGGGGAGCAAGAAGACGATAAGAAGACTGTAGAAAATGTGGAATTTGCGGATGACTCGTATGATGTCACACAGATTAGAAGATCTGCATGTGAAAACCAACAAGTTGACAGAAGAAATAGCTAAAACTGAACTCCAAGGGAGCACAGAGAAGACAGATGTGATGAAAATAACCAATAACAACAACAAGAACACATCACTAGCAACGGATCATTTGTATTGGCAGCATCGCTTCAACTACAGGCAGAGGCAGATGAAGACATTAACTAGGGTCGCAGAAGTAATCTGAAGTCAGTAAGGAAATCCCCTGCAACCAACATATATAACAAGATCCCCAATGTACCCCAATGTCAAGTAGATTTCACAATATAGTTTGGAGACCTGGCGTGTCAACAAAAGTATTTCCAACACACTACTGCAGACTTTTATCAGCAGCCGCCATCGTTCCATACTGAAGTTACTACGGCTAGAAAGGATGAGCATCAGGGAACTCTGAGAGCAAACTAACCAAGAACCTGTTCCTCGTAAAATATTCAGAAGGAAATGGAAATGGATTGGACAAACGCTGAGGAGACTATTGACTTACATAGTGCGCTAAGCCCTTGAGTGGACCCCGAGTCAGAAATGACGAGTTAACCGGGGATTCGACAGTGACATGGGGAGATCGAGTGAGGAGGAGCTGAGAGCTTATGGGCAATAATGGAGCGAGATAAGAAGGACTGCAGAAAACAGAACAGTACTAACACTGAAATCTCAGTCCCCAGAAGTATTTCCATAATATATCA